ATCGCCACAGTACTTTCATGATGGGTTTAAGGTTCTTAGCCCACATACAGAACACAACGGAGGCTGGGTAAAAGTTTAAAAGAGTTTATTGAAAGTTTCACAAACACAAGATAATGCACTGGGTCTGGAACTGGTCCGGGCTGGTTCACTGAAGTCTGCAGAGATAATAGTTTGATTAGAATGCAGGCAGATGAGTTATGAGTCTTTAATAATTCAGGATTATACCTTGACTGAATCCGGGCTTCTCTTTGAGAGAGAGGGAACCGTTGGGTCCAGAGACTGTTTGTTCAGCAGAGTTCAAGAGCAGCTGCAGCGTCTAGCTTCTGACTTTGAATGGCAGACCTTGATCAGAGTTTCCAGCTCTTAACTAAGAGCAGCAGGGGAATCCACATAGGAATCTTCAGGTTAGGCTCTTCAGGGCAGATTGGCAGGTTAAGCTCACCCAGAGCTTCAGGTTAGAGACAGGTTTCCTGTGAGGCAAAAACAAGGGAAAGTTAGAATCAGATCTCTCTCTAGAGACAACTAAGATTCTTCAGTTTCAAGCCTCAGGTCGCTAACCAAACTAAGGTCAACACTGCGGCGTCGAAGCAAGGTCTGGCAGCTGGTTATAAAGGGAAGGTCTCCTGATGAGTAGATGCGTCTCAGGCGTGCTGGAAGACTCCAGCTCCAGGAGAACCACGGCGCACTCTGCTGGAGGAAGGTGGTACAGCTCCAGATCCCAACAAGTTTGGCCAAGATTCCATTCTGTGTCTTTTTTTTTTCTTTTTCGAATTGCCGTGCAGAAAAAGTGCAGCTGCTGGAAGATGTCTGAATAATGTTCTGTGTACCGTTATGGTAACTGTACTTTTTCAATAAATGAATTTAGTATTTTATAGGTTCAAAGAGACACAAAATCTCATTTTGATTCATTTCACTGGTAGTCTGTTTGGATCAAATAGGAATAGAGGCCTGCCTCTAATTCTGGCCTCCTTCCAGTAATGGCCTGGACAAAGATGTACCTGAGAGAAATAAAGGCCCCGGCCTATATTAGAGGATTTACAGTAATTGGCTTCTCTAAATTCTCCTTAGGTGTGTGAAAGATTGTTTGTCCTGTTTGTCTCTGTGTTGCCCTGTGATGGACTGGCGACCTGCAGGATCAGTGTTGGGGAGTAACGAATTACATGTGACGTTACGTAATTTAATTACAAAAAAAGAGTAACTGTAATTCGTTACAGTTACAATGAGAAAATATGTAATTCAGTTACAGTTACTCCTGAAAATATTAAGAATTACAAATTTAGTTAAATTTTTTAAAAAAATATAAAGAAAAACCTTTGCGAAATATGAAATGATATTTTTATTGCTTTGCGCCCTGTATTGCCGTTTCCCGCTATGGCTCCTTGTCTCTATCATATTTGCCACTCTGATGATCCATCCTGTGCTGGTGGAGCCTCCTAGAGGAACAGTAAGCGAGCGGACGGTTCTATTTCAGCTCAAGCAGCGCATCAAAAATGACAGCCTTCCAGCACTGGAAATTTAAGGAGCATTTCATTTACATCTGTGAAAATGGCTCAAATTTAACCGTGCAGTGCAAGAAGTGTT